GGGGATTTAATAGTTTAATTTGTGCTGACTTTATTTTTAAAGGGGACTCTGGCTGGCCTACTTTGTGTGTGCAATTGAAGTCTGCCCACATTCAATTGATTCAAGTGAGAGATTCTCCCAAGTGTTAGAATTTTGCTCTATATATCTGAAATGCAAAAGGGCAGCTTTAGAGAAATACAGTATTGGCAAAGAACAGTCATAATTTTCTTCTCGTGTGCTGTATACATGAATGGCACCCTCTACTTGAGTCTAAGAATGGTAATTTTAGGTTAGAAATGTTAGTGCAGTGTTTCTCAAACTGGGGTTGCCACTTGTGTAGGGAAAGCCCCTGGCGGGCCGGCTGGTTTGTTTACCTGCCCCGTCCGCAGGTCCGGCCAATCGCGACTCCCCAGGGGCTTTCCCTACACGAGCGGCGGCCCCAGTTTGAGAAACACTGTGTTAGTGTGTTTGTAGATTAGCATGTTATTTTTCCCCCTACCTTTCATTGAGTGGAATGTTTTCATTTCTTTTACTGAGAGATTTTATTTATCCTGGGTATTTGGTAACCAATACAAAACTTTTGGAAATAATACAATAAATAGGGGTGGTTGAAATGGTTTGTATTAAATAAAAACTGACCTACATTTTCCTCAAACTCAGATCACACCAACCCTTTTTCATATATGAAAATGTTTCTTAATCTCTTAAAATACAGAAAATAATATTTCTCATTTACACATTCCTCTGCACTTCTTGATTTTGGTTGAGATCTCATGTGCTGAAATGTGATTAAGAACATCATGTGGTTGTTCTTGCCAGATTTCCAGCCCAGTTCTCCAAACTAAAATCTTGGATCGTTCAGATAGGGAGGAGTTAAATGTTTAGAATTTTTAGTGGTTAAAGGAACTCCAAAACCTCTGGGTTCCCTTGACACTATTTATATGTGAGAAAGATGGCAATATAGCTCTTTACTAGATTATAGATTAAATTTACCAAATAATTATATTAATCTCTAAAAACGGAGTTATATTAGTTTGTACGTTTCTTCATGTGATGAAAATATTCGTCATAGATATTCACATTGTAATGGTTTAGGAGCAAAGAGACTTGTTCTCCACATAGAAGGTACAGCACTGGGATATTTGTGATTCATAACCATATATACTTTTCCAGAAAAAGTTCATCATAATTGCCACCAAAAGAATGTTCATTTTAGCAGTTCTGGGTTTTTTCTGTGGTATTTGGGTCAATGAATCACTTGGCTATAGAATTACTTAGTACGCCAAAATATCTTACCCTAAATAGTTCACTTACGTTACCTTTGGGGGGAAAAAAATGGAGTTTCAAGTAAAAACAAATAACTAAGACTGATTTCATTGAACACATGGGAGATGGAAGTTAAATAAATATAATGGTAATCATTTGTTTTTTAAATAATATAGCTTTACCGTGGACGTTAACAAGTTACCATGTACCACATTTGTAAGCATGTATGCCTAAAGTTGGCTTCTGTATCAATATTTATTAATATTGTTATGAATTATCAGTTTGAGATCTAAATCCATGTTTTGTGCAACAAAGTCAGGATTTTGAGAGCTAATTTAGGTGATTATCTTTAGGCTCCCTTGTTTAAAAATGTAGTACCAGCAGTCCTTGCCATGACTATAAACATGCATGAGCAGTCTCACTGAGATCAGTAGGACTACTCGCATGTGTAAGTTTTTGCAGGATTGGGGCCTATGTCACTAGTGAATTAAGATTTTTTTTTCTAATGTGAGAGAAAGAGAAGTTCATTAATCATAAATGAGAAAATGTGCTTTATTTCAGGTATTGAAATTTATTAGTTGGAAATTACAAGCTTTAATTATTACAGATGTAAAGCTACCATCAAGTATTAAGTCTTTGTGCTACCATGCAAGACAGTAGGTTCAGTTCCTGGTATTTCCTCCCCAAAATGTCATGGACTTGGAACATAACATGGCTAGCACACTTCGCTTAGAGGCGAGTACCAGTGATGTGTTGCTGACAGCAAGCCCTGCCTTGCTCACATATGTACTGTGTGAAACAGGACTACTTTAACACACATTATGGAACTTTTAGTATATGCCAGCAGGTTTCCCACAGGCCAGTTAGTGTGTGATGCGCTGAATGCTCCCTAGAATTTATACCTCTCTGGTGCAGATTAGTGCACTGTGTACACAAGCCTGTAAGAGTGTGTCTTTCTGTGAAGGGAGTCCCACAGATGCCAAGATAATCAGTAATATTTGCTGGTAGCTTTTTGTTGCATTTTGTCCTGCTTCAGAACATTTTTAGAAAACGCTTATGCAGTATGAAAACATTTTGGTGCCAAAAACGTGGTATTCTTACTAATGAAAGGTGCTGTTTTTGACAGGAGTGAGTCAGTCTCTCTCTCTTGTATCTTATTTCATCCCTACTCTTCTCCATTACCGTATGCTATTATTTTACAGCTGTTCTTTTCATTAAAACAAACAAAGAAATAGAAATATTCTTATTCCTCTGGTAAATCAAAGATTATCATATTGTTGGAAGAAGTAGCAGTTTCCTCATTGATATTCAGCATCTCGTTTCCTCTTTACCAGGCATTCGGTTAGTGGAGATGTTGCATGAGTCTTTTAAAAGATTTCTTTCTTGTACCTCTTTACTGCTCTGGACCGTCCATACATGTTTTAACTTTTATCTGCTTGTAAAGTTGATCAGACATTGCATCCAGATTTGCCGTTCTTGCTGTCTGCTATATCTGCGTGTGTGTTATGTACAATCTTCAGTTGTCTTTAAAAATAAATAAATAAAGCAAACTTTGAGGGGAATGAGTTGATGTTAGGTGGTAGGTAACTAATACTCATGTCTCCCTCACTATATGGCATTTTTGAAGTAATAAAAACTGATTGGAGTTGTTGCACATTCAGTAGCATTCCTTGGAGGATGAAAGTACACTTCATTCAAAACAAACAGCCCCACGCTTCTCGCCCTGGTGCTTTAAAAGGTTTTAAATTGCAAAAAAATAAACAAAATGAAGAATCTAGGTTTGGTCACATATAATCCCTCGTACGATATTTCTGAGTCTCCCTAGCACTTGTACCTTTTACTATTTTAAGATTCGTTGTGTGAAATGAGTGTTTTGTCATTTTATTGCTGGCCTTTTGAAAAGGTAGATATACACATTACTAAAGGACTCTATTAATACTGCTTTTCTTCCTTTGTATTTTCTTCCCATAAACAGATTAATTTTTGTGAAGCTCTGCTTTTGAAACTTCATATCCAAGTAATGGTCTTATTATACAGTTCCAAAGAGTTAGAGTCCTTTAGAGAGCTGTTCGGGCCTAATTTTAAAGCCTGACCTGAACATGACTAGACCACAGTTGACCCAAATGTAGGAGTTTCAAGTTGTTTTCATACCTGACCTGACCCGGACTCTTGTAGGTGGGTCTCGTTGCATTGGGCTGCAAAGTTAGCTGCAGAGTGACAGCAACCAGAGCCAGCAGACCAGCATGGCCAAGGCATTGCAAACAGACCCATGTGCCTCTGTCATTCACAGACCTGCCTTGTTCTCCCACCCCATCCTGCAGCTGCCCCAATGAACCTGGAATTGTCTGCTCCTGCACTCCCATGGGACCACAGCCTCCCTACGGTTGTCAGCTGTCCGGTTTTTTACAGGAACACCTGGTCAAAAAGGGACCGTAGCGGCGCCAGTCAGCACTGCTGACCGGGCTGTTAAGTCTGGTTGGCGCAGGGCTGGCAGGCTCCCTACCCGGCTCCCAGGAAGCAGCCGGCATGTCCCTCTGGCTCCTAGGCGTAGAGGCAGCCACGGGGGCTCTGCGTGCTGCCCTCGCCCTGAGCGCTGGCTCCATAGCTCCCATTGGCTGGGAACCATGGCCAGTGGGACCTGTTGGGGCAGGGCTTGCAGGCAGGGGCAGCACCCAGAACCCCCTGGCCTGCCCCTCCATGTAGGAGCCAGAGGGACACACTGGCCACTTCCCAGGAACTGCCTGAGGTAAGCACTGCCTGGAGCCTGCACCCCTCAACTCCTCCGATGCCCATGCCCCTGCCCCAGTCCTGTGAAAATGAGCAAGTGAGCGGGAATGGGGCCTCGGAGAAGGGGCGGGGCAGGGAGCAGGAGAAGGGTATTTGGTTTTCTGCAATTAGAAAGTTGGCAACCTTAAGCCCCTGACCTCCAGCCTGCAGCCAGGCACCAAGCCCCATTGCTGTGTGCATGTGGGGAAGTCCTTGTCCTCCTCCCCTCTGCTGCTGCCTCCTGCCTGGCACAGCTGCAGGGCTCCAGGCACAGGGGAAGGGTAGGTGTGGGCACAGGCCCTGGGACTGTGGGGTGGCTTGGGATTAGTACCCACCTGCTGACCCCCCCCCATAATCACCATCTTCGCACATTTCCTGAAAAGTGCAGCAAAGGCACCTTCTGCACAGGGAACTGTGAACTACTCCATGCCAGGCAGGGAGGGTGGAGTGCAAGACAAGGGATACCCAATGCAGGAACCTGACTGGCCACGCCGCACCACTCTATTCACAGCTGAGCTGCACCATGTGTGTACGCACACATTTGTGTATTTGTCTGTGTCTTAAGGCGGGAAACAGCTCGTGCGAACAGAGCATTCCCTCCCCCATCAGTGCTGCTGATGCCAGCCACTGTCCCATATAAAGAAAAGAATATCTGCTGTTGCCCCGGCCTTCCCATGCCACCTCCAGGGATGCCCACAATCCCACGTCCACCTCTAGTCCCTTGGGCTTGATCTTAAAGCCTGACCCAAACATGTTAAGTCATTTTCATATCCAGCCTGCGCTCAACACTTGTATTCAGGTTTGAGTCAGGTTGCAAGGCCCTGAGGTTTTTGTCTTGTTATTGACTTGGAAAACAAAATCATTTTGGATTGGTGATTTTCATAAAACTCTAGTAGCTGATATAATTTAAGCTAGTCACAAAGCATATCAGCGGCATGATACAGAATATCTGACTTTTCACTATAATTACTTTTTATTTTTCATTGCAGATATGAGCACATTCTAATGGCACCTGACCCAGTACCAGTGTATGCCCTGAAACTGTTGGTAGCCCTGACTGAACATAGCCCTGCGCTTACTAGGTAACACAACTAAACTTTCTCTTCTAATCAGAATTTTTCTCGTTTCATCCTTATTCACTGTTCAATTAGAAATTAAGAATTATATAGATTTAAGTGCAATTCATACTGATGAGATTGTGTTGAGACCCAGATCTTGGCAGTGAAAATAGTTTTCTCATACTTAGAGTATTTGTTACAGGTAGAATTTTTGTAAGGCATAGTTTTTACCTGAAGTCTTTTTTGTATTACAGTTTTGTATGTGCTTGATTATTTTAATTATCTTTTAGCACAATTAGTTAAATACAAAAAATGGGAATTTAAAAAACATTTCCTGAACTGTCTTTATACTAAACAAATATATATAGATGTAAAGAGATATCGATTTCTCTTACTCTGTGCAAATATTACACACTATGCCACCATGTTACGTAGGCTAATAATTCTAAAACCTGATGAAATTTCCTTTCCCTCACTTCTGCTGGTAGGTGAACCTTTCATCTCATTTCTGAGCATTGTTTTCTGAATTCTACCAATAATGTAATGGCAGTAACAAATTAGGTTTTTGTACGATTCCAAACTTTCTAAAACCAAGTTGCTTAAAAATAACACGATATTCTATCAAGCTGTGATTAACATGGTCAGTCTTGCCAGCCTGATCACAGTGAGAGAAGGCTTTTCCACTCACCCTTTGGTCACCTGAAAGGGCAGAACACACACACACTCTCTCTCTCTCTGCTCTGCTCCATCCAGGTAAACTTTTCCCCCTCTGCCACCAGTTGTAGAGGGAGCCTCCTATAGACAACAACCCCCAAAGTCCCACAGTGAAGAATTGTGGTCAGGACATTCTTGGGTGCTTAATTAATCCATATTTACTGTTGACAAGTGGCCTAATTTTCAGCGGTTCTGAATATTCAGAGCTCCCTTTAAATTTGTTTGGAGCCACAGGTGCTTAATGCCTCTGAAAATCAGACTGCTATGGATTTAGTTATCTAATTTAGGCACCCAAGTTTGAAAATATTGATATGTGGTTTGATTCCCAACTCTGTAATTGTGCTTGAAAATATCTTTTGTTACAATTATTCCTTTCGTGAATCTTTTCCATTGTTCCATACGCTCCATCTAAGATATTACCTTTCATCTGTGAAAGGCAAATTACCACTTTTTAATCTCCTGTTTTTCTTTCCCTCCTCCCTAGCATTTTTTATGAACGTCTATGCACACCCACTTATGCAGACAATACTGTAGCAATACAACTTGGTAGAAAGAGTCCTGCCAATGTAGTTACGTCCAGCTCTGTGCAAGGTTCAACAAGCATAATGTTCTTAAGTGTCCCCTTCCCCCTCTAGCCTGCACCTTAAAAAAAAACAAAAACAAAAAAACAAACAAACAAACAAACAAAAACCCTAAAATATTTGTTTTTAAAAACATTTGTCTAAGTATCTGGATCTGGAAACCTTTTGTTAGGTACTTTTGTAAGAGATTTTACACAGACAATTTTCAAATGTGCATTTGTAATGGGTAAAAACAACTTTAAAACAACTGTGGGCACTTGATAATTACAGATATTTAGGCTGTGCTTTTAAAGAAAATCCTGTTGAAATCTGACTGATTACAGACTAAATAGTTAAATGTTTCTGGATGTTAAATAGATCTGCAAATAAGTATAGGACACTTTCAGACCCTGGTCCCAAAAAGTGTGACCAACTCAAGTAGTTTATGGCAATTTGCAACTTGGGCACCATAAAGCAAAGAATGTTTGTGTCTTGTCCTTTTATAGAACCCTCTAAACTGCTGCAAACCTCTCTGATTCTAGCTGTTGTATGGTACTGATGCCTTATTAACCTCTAGCTACTACAGTGATTGGTGAACTGAAGATGCCTTTATTGAGACAGCTACCCTTTATCAAGAAACAACTATATGGAAGTGTTTATAATACTTTATCCTGTTTTTTTCCTATATTATGGTAAAAAGTATTGAAATTTTAGAGAAATTTTGTTTATGTAATAGGGACTCACCTGTGGAATGTTCTGCCACAGAGGGAACTAAAATAGGTGCAGTCTTTACATGCCTCCTTTTCTTCAGTTTTTGAACATTGTTTCATTTCTGTGTCAATCAATATGAAATAATCAAATGCTGTTAACAAACCATAAATCCATAAGTCTTCTCTCACCGGGGAGATGAATTTTTAGAAGCTATACACTTGTTTGTAAACAGTTGTTGCAGCAAAATGTCCCATATTAGTAATGGTCCTTGGGTTAGGCTTGTGATAGAATGAACTGTATTTCCTGATGAGGCTGCGAAGGCCAAACGTTCAGGGAAATTAAGAAAAAATAGTTCTAGGAAAATAAACCAGATGTTTGAATGGGGGATAGGTAGATAGAACAGGCAGGAAGTGGATCAGGAAGGAGGAAGAGAGAGATGGAAAAGGAATGGTAATGTGTTGCCATTGTACGTATCTAGGATCTTGGTCCTGAATCTGCGCTTACTTGCATTAAGTTAATAGCTCTACTGAACTCAGTGGAGTTACTAGTATAAAACTGAAGTGAGAATCAGGTAGGTCCTTGGTGCTCACCTCTGTTGTGTGGTTTCTGGAGCAATTATGTTTACGGAGTGATTCCTTGAGTCTCAGTCTTCCTTCTATCATTGACTGAAATGAGCAATAGGAAAAAATTAATTTGTTTTCCTGTTAGTCTTTCTTTAACAGCTCAGATGAAAACACTCCCCTTTATATCTTCTTATCCTTTACAGTCCTACCATGAGCACTGCCGCTACACACTAAATAGATTAAAAATGAACTAGAAAATTGCTTGAGTGGCTTGAGATTTTGAACAATTTGAATACAGTAAATGCAGTACTTAACTGCAATTTTATTGTATAAATCCTATTTATACTACCACAGGATTACAGTTATTGTGCAGATAAATAGTACCATTTTCTGTTGTTGAAATAAATCTATTGAGCTTCTAATTCTTTATTACAATTCATAAAATATCACTGTAGCTCAGGCTTTGTTATCAGAGCAATGTTGTAGCTCACCATCATAAACTCTTTTCATTTGAAGATGTGTATGTGTACACTTAACAGTGTTTGTGGAGGGTGGATACTTGGATGCTGACTCACCCTTATAATCTGTTTATAGTTGGGTAATAATCTTTTGATCTTGATATTACTGGATGGTGGGTGGGGAGCTTAATCTAGGTGCTACAGTATATCTTTATTAACTGTTCATATTTTTAATTTAGTCTTTTTAATTCAAGTGTATCCAGTGGTAATATTGGAGGGTGGATTCTTAGTTTTCAGGTGCTGATTTGACTTTAGCAATCTTGCTGATTTCCTTCAGTTATTTTCATTACTGGATATCTTTTTTTATTGTTATTTTAATACTTAATGATGAATGCTACTTTCCACTGAAAGGTTTCAGAGTAGCAGCCGTGTTAGTCTGTATCCGCAAAAAGAAGAACAGGAGGACTTGTGGCACCTTAGAGACTAACAAATTTATTAGAGCATAAGCTTTCGTGGACTACAGCCCACTTCTTCGGATGCATATAGAATGTTCCATTCTATATGCATCCGAAGAAGTGGGC